TGTGTTAAAATTTTACTTAATGTTGTACCAGTTTTCTTCTACATTTGATTCACAGTTAAATTTGTGCACGAATGTGTCAGTGCTATATTGACTGCTATACAAACCTGCTGAAAATGTGTTGTCAAATAAAATAAAATTTTATTGTGAATTAGCTGAAAATAAATTTTTCTAATAGTATAGTTTTTGTGTTGCATGGTATGTTGCATACTTGTACTTGTTATTCAGTGTCATACTTTTTAATCATCACTACTCCACCTAATAAATCAAGCCTCATGTTTGAAGTGTGGCCTTTCAATAACTTGGCTAATGTTAAAACACTTTTTCAACAAACCCTATGTTTGTAGTAAGATCAGCCAACTATTCCCTTCTCCTGTGTTCCCCTCAATGTGAATCTTCTACTTTTGGGAACTATGATCATGTCATCTGATAGTCAGTTCATAAGCTGTTTAGTTTTTGCCTTCACTGCATTTATTTATTCCAATGTTGTTACTATCAGTTCAGACTTAATCATTGGAAATAACAGACAAACAAACTGTTCTGATTCTAATCTTGTGCTTTTCTAGACACACGTTCTCAGCTAGGGCGTGTGGCAACCCATAGGCTTGCTAAAGGATCAAAGAGTCTTCCCACATTTCAGGCCTTCTGTCTTAATTGTTCAAAAATGTGCAGTCAAAACACACATTGAAGTAGATCTGGTTTACAGTGTGACTTTCGGTATGTGATCAAGTGACCTCCAGGACCATGCTATCAATTTCTCGAATCTCGAAATGAAAGGATCAACATTGCTATGAATTTTGACCTGCTGCTTTGTTTTTTAGTGCACGGATTGGCGCTAAGTTTATACTTCAAATTATTTATTATGGCACTTGACGGTTAATCAGCTGTGACGGTGGTAACCAATCGGGACCAATATCTGTAATCAATATCAATAACTGATACCTGCCAGGGGCAGAGTTGCATAAATCGCAGTTTAGCGCATGAACTACGCTCTCTGGCTCAGGTGTCCTTTCTCTATCTCTCACGTGCGCAACGTTCTCTCTTCCTGTCTCGCTTGCGCGATGTTCCTCCTCTTTGTCTCTCTCAGGATCTTTTTTCTCACGCACTCCCTCGCTCTTTTTCTCTCTCGTCTGCTCTCACTCGTACTCTATGGCTGGTCTCGCTCTTATTTATGGCATATGCTCTCGCTCTTTCTCTACAGTGCCTGGTCTTGCACCTGCTCTGGTTCTTGCTCACACCTCCACTCGCACTTAAACTCTCGCGCCTGTTCTCAATACTTCTCTATGGAACTCATTATCATCCTTGCACAGAGCCGCTCTGCAGCGCTTCAGAGTGGTGTTTCTGTTGGGGAAAAAAAAAAAATGGTTTTAATAGAGGTTTTTGCACCCTAGTCGCTAACAACGCATACACGCTTCTGCGCCACTGCCCGCAGAACACTTCCAGATCACAGCTTCACGCGGAACGGAGCTTTTTGGAAGCGTCATGTGCATAGCTGTTATACTGCGCTTTTCGCAACTTTCCCTTGGGAAGATATCAGTTGTTCACGATTTCATCCAAACGGTATCTTTAACGCCATAAATAAATGATGGGGAAGTTGGGACACTTTAGGAAACAAATGCCTATTCACATTTTAAATGCAGATATATGTTCTATATTAGTTCATGAACATCAGGTGATTCTGGAAGATAGAGATGGGGCCTTTGATGGCATCCCAGAGAGAGCAGTTGATAATCTTTTAAAAGCCAAAGTATTAGGTGTGCTGCTCAGATGACATTTTTTAAGTTTTAGGCTCTGGGTAGGTATGTAATAGTTTTTAACAGGTGTGAGGCTGATAAATGGCCAATAATAGATGTAGTTGAAGAGTGTAAATCAAGACATTAGCTGGGGTTTATAACCGAATCTGTTGTTTGTTATCGGCCATGTATCGTTCAGTAATTTTCATAATACCATTTTCTTGTGAGAAAAATTCATCTAAACAAGAAAATTTTTTTGGAATAAGTGTACTAGTACACCATCTTCAGCTACAACTTATTTGTTTTGATTATATTTAATAGAAGGTGGACTGTTAAATCCTTAACTGACGTTGGCTGCAAAGTGTGGCCTTTTCTTTCAGTGATTGCGTTAATTCAATATTATAAAAGTTCAGTATTACAAAAAGAAAAGGAAAAAAAAATTACAATGGCATTGGAAAAGCATCTTTTGTGACTCTTAAAACGTTATTCAGGCAAGGGGAAAGATTTAATTAAGAGGAAAGATATTGTGTCAATATCTTCGAAATGTTTTATGACATTAATACCATATAGACTCAAATGTATAGATGAAGTGTCGTACATTAGAAAATAAGCAGTACTCTTGTCAGCGAGTGTTGGGGGAGGAATGGCATGTTTCGGGAAGATTGCCTATATCACTTCATCAAATGTGTCTCACAACTGTTCCTCCAAGAAGCTGAAGAATGTTATTTTGCAAGAGTGGCTTCATTGAATATTGTGATAATTTTCTTAAGCAATTTAGATGCACTTATAAAAACCCATCCATAATAGTACAATGCTATGTATTTAGTTCTAGTGCATTCTTGGTATAGCTTGTAAGAATTTTATTCAATCTCGGCCCATATACAGTTTTGTCACAATATGTAATTCCAGTAATGGGCCAATTTATAGTACTGTGTGTAAATGTATATGAAATAATGACCTAAATAAATGTTCAATGATCTTATTTACAACTGTTTCAGTGCATTCCATAGTGTCTCAACCTGCCTCACTAGGGGAGTGGGTTGAGACATTTTCATAATTTCATGTTATATCAAACATTTGGAAAGCTGCAACATATTTGACTCCACCTCCACTTTGAATAGCTATTGATTATTACAGTTCTATAACTTTAGGGGGAAAGCATATCTGATTTGTTTAGAGTACTTGACATTTTAATATTTATGTCTAAATGTGTCCTACTTTCCCTGATGTCTTTCTCTCTCTTGCATTTACGTTTTATCTCTTTTTTTCTTTTGCACTTTCATGCATGCACATTCACAGCTTTCACCTGCATGTACTTAATACCTTTTTGAGATTAAATGCACTGATCATTTTCAGTCATCGTCCTTTTGTAGAGAACTTCTGAGGTGTACTAGAACAATCACCCTGATGTATAGAAATCTTGGTATTCAGTCTGATATATCAGTGTTTGCCTATTTGTGTTGATTATACGGTACTTGTATTTTGATGTTTTGTTAGGTGCCTTGCTTCCTGTTCTTTGCTTCTTGCATGTTTGTTGTGATAGGTTTTGAAATTATGTATTTTCTACAGCTTCTTATACAGGGAGCAGTTCTGATGAAGAAGATGTATCACCTAGAGATAAGGAGCAGAAGAACTCCAATGGATTTTCTGATTTTTGCGTAAGAAATATCAACCAGCATGCATTTGGACGTAGAGAAATCGAGATTGCAGAACAAGGTATGTACTAACATTTTGTTCAAAATATAAAATAACAGTGCAATACTTACATAAACAATTGTTAATAGTTACGAATTTCTGAAAACTTTATAAATGAAGTTTGTGTTAATTCATCCAGATGTTTCTTGGAATTATGTTATTGGGAACAAAACTTAATCATTTCCTTTGGTATACAAAATTAAATTTTTCTAGTATGTATAGACATTGTACATGATGGTCTTGTTTACAATATAGAAGATGAAAAGTTTATGGATATTCAAGGCATAAAAATAAACATGATGTACATTATTTAAGACACAAATTCCTAAATATTTCCAATAATGCCTTTATGTACTTGTATGTTATTTATACAAATCTTGATTGTGGGGCCTTACACTTTTCTGGGAAGATGCAGTATTCTCAAAATTCATGAAGTTTCTTCGCTGATATATTGAAATTAAATTGAATTTCATGCATTAGTTTTGTCTTTTGATATTTTTGACCCCAATTCACAAAATGTATATTGTGTTTTATCATTGCAGCTATCAAGGAAATTGTTTTTCTTTTGGAGTAAAGGCATAGATCACAAGTAAAATTAAGTTCAAGGTGTAGACTAAAAGTTTTGTTCTAAAATATTCCTTTTTATACCTCGTACCTTAATATACCTCCTACAAAATGAAAAATTTGTTTCATAATTTTATTTTTTTAATGGTGCCAGGAGAAAAGAGTGCAAAAATACATTCCTTCATTTACCATTAAATGTGATTCAAATACTAGATCTGGTATTTTTCTCAAGAGGAGAAAATATTTTCTAATTGAAATATAATTTTGAATATATAATACTTAATCGGTGTTATTTTAGAAGGGTTTCCAGGGATGTTTATGTATGTAATGTTTTAATTTAAACAATTTAATTCCAGAGCACTCATGAGAGCAAAAAAGGCTCTTGAAATGTACGAAAATATATATCATGTTTGGAAATGCGTAAATGTTTATATTTTGAAATAGCCAAAAGACAGTCTTTGTTTAAAATAATAATGACTAAGTATTAAATATTATATTTATTTATATTAAATATTTAATTATATTAAACAAGTGTCAAGTAGCAAGAAATTGAAAAAGAATTACTCAGAAATGGGTTTTCCTGCACTGAACTTTGTTTTACTTACTGAAAATCATTCTTGGAAATCTCTCTCAACACATTTAACATCTTGATGTGCCAATAGTAAAGCTTTTACTACAGAAACTGTTGGGCACAGTCTGGAAGTGTAGTCTAACATCTGGAAATTTTTATTAGTACAGGGAATCAGCATTAGAAATGCATGGTGTCTTCAGTTTTTCTAAGTTCTTAATGACAATGTCATATAATGAGCAGTAATGGTTCCAGACTTCAGACATCACCTTCCAGAGACTCACATACACCTTTTCATTTACATCTTGCACAACTCAATGGAAATCAATGTAAGGGAACTTTGCAACCTTTGTTATCATCATCATTCTCATCAAGAAGTATCCTGATATTAGTCAATAAAAGTAAAGCTTGAGATTCAACTGACTGAATTTCATCAAAAATACATTCTTGAATACAAACACCAAACCTGTTTCAATCTGCAAATGGAAATAATCTAGAAATACTACACCTTGGTGCCTCCCATGTCAAACTTCCATTTCTTATTGGCTGGGCATCGACATGATTATTGGTTAACTGCAGAGAGATCGAATCTTCCACACAGAGTTATTTCCAGCAGTTTATTTAATTCCACGATTTTCATTGGAAACCCATTGAAAATTAATTCTACCAACTTTTCTGGTACTTCGCCTGCCATAGTACTAGCAACATTCTACTAAACTCAAAATATTCGGCAAAGCACATTATTTCCGGAATCGAGTTTCCTTTTCCTAATGCAGAACAAGTGATGGCGGCTGAATGCCCGAATATCATCATAGGAAAAAACAAACGAGATAAACTTGAGAATGCCATTATGAATTACGTACGTGAACAAGGCATTTAAGAAGAGTACATCTAACACAATTAATAGTATCAACTTTCGTTACGATTCGTAGCAGAAGAACGAAGAATTACAAAAGTGCGGGGGATCCATAGAGGGATCTATGTCTAAGGATCTACAGTATATTTACTACAGGAATATAGGTTACTAATTTAACCGTTTCGGCCTCTCGGCTTGCATTATGATTATAACAAACGGTCGAAGATAATATACAAGTGAGTATTATTGTGTAAATACGCTTCCCCCAACTATCCACTTTCATTATTTCGGTGCTCGTTTAGTGCATACTCTTTCGACGAAACTAACCTAACATATACTTTGATTTCTTTATAGTGGCGCCTCAAGGTCACGAGCTGGAAGGAGAGGGGGACATTGCCATCCAGTCGGTAGCTCCAACAGCAATTTAAATCGTAAATAAGCTGTATCCCCCTTAAAATAATACCTATGGGCCGGTTTCACCAACCGGGATCAAAAAGATGATCCCGATCAACTTCAGTTTGATCCCGTTGTACGTTTCTCCAAGCACTTGACACGAATCAATGTGACTCGGATCAAATTTGACTCGCAATTGATCCGTCGCCGAGCGGTGGATCACGGTCAGATCAGGAGTTATTGCTCGGCTTGGTCGTCTAGCTATTCCAGTTAACCGTATTTTTTAAGTAAATACCTGTAGTTGGACTTAGATTCAGTATGGAAGTATTCGCTAAGGAGTAGGATTGCGCGTAATATTTGTTGAGCAAATGTGTTTTTTAAGATAGTATTGTAAATAAAAGTAGGGTTAACACAATTGTAGGTTAGAATTCTCGGTATTGGGAAGTAAAATTTAAATAAATTTTGGCTTCAAATTAGTGTAATTATAAGTATCATTTTATATAAGTTTAAATTTAAATTTTTAGATCGGTAAGTAGAAAGACAAAAATATATAATTACATAAAAATTATGTCTCTACTCATAAAGTTCCTCGAAAACTGAAAAGTATTCTGAGAAATTGAGTTCGCAGTTCTGAGTTTTCAGGTTCTCAAACGTTAGTTTCTTATATTTTTTCAACGAAAATGTACATGTATGACGATGTTTTATATTTCTATAGAATTCTTAAAGTCATGTTTCGGTTTTATCATTAGGGATACGAAAAATTGAAAGAAAAAAAATGTGACAAAACTATCTGTAGGTGGCAATGGATGGCAGCTGGGAAGAGGATGAGGTAAAACCGAATATAAAGTCTAGAGCAAAGAAATAAGGAAACAAAGTCGTTCGAGAAAGTCTGTGCCATTCTGTTGCATGACTAGTTTATTTTATTTTACAAATCACACTACCTTTGCTATAATTGGGGCAGACGTTCTCTAATCCTCTGTAACCGAATTATAGAACTTATTTAACTTGAAAAATTGTGTTTTTCCGATTTTTACGTGATCATCATTCGAACAAGTGCCGTAAACTGAGGTTACTTGGTGGCTCAAGAATGAACAGTAGCAGCGATAGCGGAGATGGAGCGGTGAAGTATAAAGCGAAAAAGGACAGCGAGCAAGCGAGACAGTCAGTATTAGTAAGGGCATTCGCAAAGTTGTCTATTTGCGAACCGCAGTTCCAGTGCCGCGTCGGATTTGGAATTCCCAGACCTCCTCACGAGGTCCGTTAATTTAGCATAGCAAGGTTTTAAAAAAAATTGGAATTGAACTCAAAATTTATCGCTTTTTATTTTTTGCTTATTTGTTACGCAAAAAAATTGTCGTTCTTTATTGGACCCTGCTATAAACAATTGACAAACTGGATATGAAGTTAGTACTGCAAGTACCAGAAACCCAATAAATTACAAAAATAAATAAAACTAATTACATGGGCATTGTCGCTTTTTTGTTGCCCAGTAGTACTTGAACATAATTTTTTTTGCTCTTCAAATACCGGAAATGAGAAATTTGCGCACTTAGCGGCGGGTGACTGTGAAGGGAACGACTGTCCGTCGCACATAGGTACCACGGAACAACCACCTACACCGTGGTGGTCAGATAGAATCGGACTCAGAATAAATGAAGAATTTTCGGCCTCATAAAAAGATGAAGATTCACAATTGTTTTCATTGAAGGAGAATCAGTAGATTTTGAAGTGTTTGTGATTTTGAAACAGTTTTATAAATTATAAAAAGGACGAGCATTTTTACTTTAGTTATTCTTCAATAAGTCTTGCGTATTATTACAACGAAGCCCTTTAATTGTGTTCCTTTCGTGCATTCAATTTCTCTGAGTGTTCAGCCGCTCCGAAGAATTGGAGCTTGCAGGTGCTAAGAAGGAATTCTCACAGAAGTTGCTTTACTGAGGCGGGCGCCAACAAATAGGCGTCAACGCTCCGAACAGCCTATCCCTACGTTCAAATTTTTTTTTAATACCTGCAGTCTTACATGTGTGCATACTGCCATTGTTTGAAAAAAATCTCGCAGAATTATCATCCCGCCCTCTGAGATTCGGACTAGAAGGGTAGCAAAGACAATTTTTTTTTTATTTACGTCAAAAACTGTTAAAAACTGTGTGTGACGTGCTACGAGAATGTTCAGAAGTAAAACAAGGGGACATTTCATCATTTGCTCAAGGATCGGGGAAACGGGACGAAAACCAGATCGAGATGGGGTCATTGACTGTTGAAGTACAATAATTCTTACAGGTACTTTAAAATTATTCGGTCCAAATGGTAAACATTACATTAAATATCACTCTTAAAATGAATTACTTTCCTTTTGGATGCTCGTTATAGTCTCCAATTCTATAGAAACAGTTGTGCAGTAGAAAAGATTATTCTTGGAACTGAAACTTATATCGAATTTAATCGATTAATGTTATCTGGCAAAGTGTTGTAAAGTAGTGTACAAGTATTGTATGTGAACTTATTGTAGTTAGCTGTTGATACTGGCTCAAGGATTGTAAATGCAAACACCATATAAATTTAATTTCAAAATTTTAATATTCATAATTAAAACATCGCCCAAACTTCATCTGGTTTAGGAATCTCTAAGGGCCGGTTTCACCAACCAGGATCAAATTCGTAGTTGATCCGAGTTTCGTGATCCTGATCCGCGGAGTCAAGGCCGACTTGATCCCTGTGCGTTTCACCAACGTTTTGAGACTTCGAAGTTGATCCGGATCCCATGATTCGTGAGCAGTCGTGAAAATGCGCGGTTGGCAACAATTTTACAATGCATTGTGGGTATTCTCGCGGTCAGCTGTAGTTGTTTTGATTTCATTTCGTTCCGTCGGTGGTGTTCTGTTGCGTGTGGTAGTGTTCTTGTTCGGTGATGGATTCATCTGACGTTGGAAAGAATGCATAGACTACGCCCAATTTCTCTTCAGTTGAAAGATAATTACTCGAAAGCTTAATGAGCAAATACAAAGAAAGTTTTAATGTTCGTTCTGACATTTCAAAATAATTGCTTCTTTTGGGAATTACTCGTGGTGTCTCTCCCCACAATAAATCTTCAATGACTTCATTAATAATAATAATAATAATAATAATAATAATATTTATTGAGTCACATTCAAAAACATACTCCATTTTTACGACACAAATTAACCTAACAAGAACAAAAATTGAAAGAATTACTACACTAAAAAAAAGTATTCAATAAAACTATTCCACGCCAATTGCAATACAGATATCACAAAATGCTATTTTACTAATGATACTTATAAATACACTAATTTGAAGCCAAAATATATTTAAATTTGACTTCCCACTACCGAGAATTATAACCTACAATTGTGTTAACCCTACTTTTATTTACAATACTATCTAAAAAAACACATTTGCTCAACAAATATTACGCGCAATCCTACTTCTTAGCGAATACTTCCATACTGAATCTAAGTCCAACCACAGGTATTTACTTAAAAAATACAGAAAACTGGAATAGCTAGATGACCAAGACGAGAAATAACTACTGATCTGGCCGTGATCCACCGCTCGGCGACGGATCAATTGCGAGTCAAATTTGATCCGAGTCAGACACGTTGATTCGTGTCAAGTGCGTGGAGAAACGTACAACGGGATCAAACTGAAGTTGATCCGGATCAACTCAGGATCATCTTCTTCATTCCTGTTGGTGAAACCGGCCCTAATATTTAAGGGAGGAATAATTTGATTCGACAATGACAGTCCGCTATTTTACCACCCCTTCAGATTTGTCCGAAAGTACGAAAACATTTTTAAAATTGCCTTCAGCTATTTTATTGGGAAAAAGAGAATCACAAAGTGAATTCTATGAGATTCTATTCTATTCTAGGAGACAAACGCAGTTTTGGAATAAAAAATAGTCGTAGGATAAAAGTGCTTGTGCGTAATATCTGCTCATTCTTTCCGGTAGTGTAGTACATGTAAAATAAGATGTGAGGTGATGGAATATTGGTGATATTTACACAATTAGTTCATTGTTCAAAAATTAGCCTCAAACAATTTTATGACGGTATTCGAGGGAAGACGGAAATATGTGAACTATATAAATAGTTTTATTCTACTAGTACGGATGATACGAGACCATTTGCTTTTGTTACAGCATCACTAGTTTGATATGCGGGAGAAAAATATATTGAGATGTGAAGTGACGAAAGCATAAACCGACTGCCGGGGCTGGCCGAACGACTGGCCGTGCCGCCGCGCCGAAAGCGGGCCCTCAACGGGAGGATGACGCAACGGGTGAAAGGGGGGAGGGGGCGAGGTGTTTTGGTAAATTTCACTTTACGACGCTCCTAGTCATTCGATTTGCATGATTGACACGGTGTTGGATTCAGGAAGCATGTCATCGCGTTATAAGTCCACATTTTTTCCCGGAAGTTCGAACACCAATTTCAAATTCGAGTTTTTTGCTAATTTTTGGAAAAGGGGCTTCGTAGCGTCAATTCTATTTTGAAAAAAAAAGTCAAATGTTTACAGATCGAAAATTGGACCTTTCGTTCAGACTTTATCGGTAAAGTGACAGTGTCGCAACTATTGAACTTTCCTACAAGTATTTTTCGGTGCATTTAGCCTTAGCGCGCGACGCCTGCTGGGCGATACTAGTTGGAAACAAAGAACGTCGACAAGAGCGCTAGTGTGCAGATTCGCATAAAATACAGTGTTGAATACGACGCGTGTAGAGTGATTGGTGTGGGCAGGCATCGACGCGCGTCAACGGAACGCTCGTGTGGTCAATGCCTAAATATAGTTGAAAAGTAACTTCCGAACGTTCGCAGATTGCCGAACCTCCAGTATTCGCCCTACCCACCGCGTGTCGGTCTTTAGGACACATCAAAGGGATGCAACATTCGCCGAACACATCAGCTGTTCGGGAGTGAGTTAGCAGTAGCTTGCTGTTCGGCGAATGCCGAATGTGTGGAGCCGCCTTCAAATCGGTAGAGATTTTTACGTCCTTGAGGAAGATGATTTATCAGCAGCAGCAGCAACAACCACCACAAAAACAACACTTCTACAAGAACTATCTCTTGAGATCCCCACGCTCTCGTATTCACAACGATGCTCGCAAATTGCACACTTCATGTGCACAAGAGATACAGAAAAGGGGGCTTCTTCCTAACAGTCAATTTTACACAAAGGATTCATTAAATGTAAAATATGAATCAACAAACCAAACATCAAATGAAAATAAATTCCCCCAACTCGATAAGTAATGTGGTCAATATCGTCAAGATTTTAGTGAATTTGTGTACTCTCAATAACAGACGAAATTCATACAATTGGTTGCAGCTGGTTTCAGACGAAGACAAAGTTGGTATTCCCTTAGGACGCCGCGCTCTGAGGGTGGCCCCTGCAGTGTAAGCCTAAGCAAAGTAGATATCGTACCAACGTTGCAGAGCGAAAACAACAGGGGCCCAATGTTGAAGCATAGGGATGCTGACAAAGAGTAACTGCAGAAGGAGATTAAGAGCGTGGCCTTGGTGCGCTGCCTGGGAGCGCACGAGTCGGGCAGGGCACTCTTTTATTTCAAAATGGTTTCGTATAAAATGATATTGCTGCAATATCTTGTATATTGAATGTCATTAAATGGAAAAAGTATTTTCGAAACAAGATTTTTTCGATTATCTCGGGTTGTACAACCTTAGCACGAGCCACCGCTGCATTGTATTAAGAGACAAACAATGGGGAATTCTTAAGAGGAAATAGGCGATCTTCATTCAAGACTATGAAAATAAGACATCAGTAGCTGCAAGGAAAAGGAAGCAAACTGAAATTTGAATAGGCTAATCGAGATCTCCATTTTTAATTACTTGAAACTAATACACATTTCGAACACGGAAACAAACTCAAATTTACATGGGAAGGACATTGCTCCAAATCAATTATAGATTATATTATCATTAAATAGAAACAGAAAACTAATCATTAGCGAAAATTTTCAGAGGTAGTGATACTGTTATTGTTACTTCTTAGAAACCAAACCAAATATTTAAAACAAAAATTAAAGCCAAAAGTGAAAGATGATCATCTCAAGGAAGAAAGTAGAAAATTATTTAACGTGAGCAAGAGAAAAATTCCAATCGGTAGAGAAAGGTGGCCCTAAAAAGGACGGATATTCAGGGGAAATACGTGAGGCACTTCACGAGTGATATATATGTATAAAAATTGTTTTAAATTTATATTCCTTGCTACTGTGTTGATTTTAACAGACACGTAAGTGTATACTATTTGAATGGTACGCGCGCGAAAGAGACTAGGCCCTGGAAACTGGAAGGCGCCAATAAGTGAGCCATCAGCCACGCCGGCCAACGCCTCTTGATGTAAAGAAGGCATCTTTGCAAACCACTCAACCTCCCATTCGCGGTTGTTCTCGGTGGTTGCTTTGACAACCGTCGTCACCCGCGATAGCGAGGTCTCCACGCCGTCGTTGTCGGGTCTGGCAAAGTAGAAGGTAGAGGAATGCGATACTTCTAGTGTGAAATTCATTCGATATTTCGCCTTTTTAATTCTGTAAAGTAGATGTTCGAGGAATGCGATTCTTCCGGTGTGAAATTCATCCGAATTTCACCTTTTTAATTCTTTGATGTTTGAAATATCATTCCTCTGAATAATGTAGTATGTATTTTACCGTTTTCATGTTGGAAAGATAGCGGTTAGAAGAAAGTTTCAAGTTGTAAGCGCCCCACTGAATACGTACAAATATCTAGTACCAAAGAAGTTGAACAGTTTTGTTCATCTTCAACTCTACAGAATTTGTGGACGACCGCGAAACGCTGCTTTCAACACCGTAGTGTGCTCTGAACAATCTAATGGTAAATCTATTCAACTTGTTAGAGGCTTTCTTCAAATATGAATAATTTGATATGCACTTTTGAGTTCAAATGTCCTGAAATCGTGTTTCACGACTCATTTTGTGTGACAGATATTCTGTTAGATGTTTTGCAAAAGAGATTATTGCATGTAAACAACTATGTATCAAAAGTAAGGACTACTTGTGGTTAAATAAGAACCAGAAGGAAACAACAGTATTTTTCTACTATCCTTGAAACGTCAGCAAAATGGCCGATATACACCTCACTTGCTAGTACAACTCCCTTTTTAAGAATTAATGTTCAGATTAATCGAGCGTTATTATATTTTGGAAATGGATCAGAAACTTTGCGATTATGAGAATATTCAATTTGTTGTTTTTCTGAAACACAAAATTTTAAGAATACAAAACTTCTCTCTAGTGATTTTGAACATTTGCAAAATTTCTCCGGATATCTTTTCCCCTAAACACATCGTTTTAGAAACGATCTATTTTATACGCCGATGAAAATTATAGGCATCTTTCTATAGAAAGATTATCGATATGCATTATGAAGATAAGGACACTTGTATACGGACGGTTACAAATTATTCTCCTTGCTGTCCAACTCTTCTTCAGAGGCTATGCAAACGCTTTTGTCTGAAACACAAAATCATATCCTCGGGAAAGCAATTTTAGAATAGAGTTTTGTCTTTAGGGAATATTGCAATTCAGAAGGAACTTCTGCAGTTAATGCAGCGGACAACATAGACAATTTTGCAGCTTTAAAGGACTGAAGGATTGACTTGGTCTCGTCGATATGGTCCCGTCGGGCACTGAAGTATTCCTTTGTTTTACCAGTCATCTTTCTTCTCCCCATCATTCACTTTTATTCTTTTATAACACCCCGTCTCTTTTCTTCCCCTTCTATTTCACTGCCGCCCGTTTGCTGAACGCCCACCCATGTGGTTGCAGTGCATGGCGATCCGTGTCGGGGATGTGTGTCCTGGTAGTTGAGGGACCCGTTTGTTTCTCAACTACTCCTTGTACTACTTTCTGCTTTACTCCTAGCGCTACGTATTTTGGGGGAACTTTTTTGTAGTTTTCAACACACATGCTTTAGCCTCGCTTTTGACGGGCGGTCGGGAGCTAACCCACTCCCGATCAATCGGCTTGGACTAGGTTTTGTACTGACCCCAGGGTGAGCGGAGGATCCACGGCGGTGCAGCGCTGTCACCCCCCACTATCTCACTATCAACCCTGGCACCCCAGTGGGGTGTTCCCTTATTGGACTTCATGGTGGGTGGGGAGCAAGGGAATGAATTTATATCTTATGGATAACAAACAACCCCACCTGCCCTCCTCCGCAAGGAGAAAAGATGTGTGAAACGAACTATTGACTTAAATTATTTTCTAAAGACCGAAAAGCCTCGTTTCCTCATGGCATGCGCCGGGGATGGTAAAACGTTTAAAAACGTAAGTGCTGTCAGTCTGATGCGAGCCGTAGAGGAAGCATACAGGATGCTCCAAACGGTCGTGCGACAGAGGAATGGAATGATTCGTTCTGAAGCACATGTCGACGAGCAAATAGATAAATTACTGAAAACCAAGCAGATTTCCGGCCTCCGGTTGGTAGTGACGACGCACCCGACCTTAAACCTCTGCAAAGGTGTATTAAACCACGAGGTCTACTTCGGAGAAGGAAGAAGATCGTACATTTTTCAAGAGTCAGAGCATTACTGAAGTCTATAAGATCAAAAGGAAAGAGTAGGGGAAGGTGATCCCTACTTCAACCCTGTCCTTACGTTTGACCGTCTATACCGGAAAGGATCAGTTGTGGTTTCTCCAACCTCCACGTGCGACTGTAGGTACCACACCCTTTGCGCTGTTTCAAGTGCCAAAGGTTTGGGCATACCCACCAACGATGTATGACGGTACCCAATGTGCGGGAAGAGCGTTACATCAGTGCACAACCCACAACCCTGCGCTAGAACACCGCACTGTCTATTGTGACGGCGACCATCCAGCCAACTACATCCAGTGCCGTCCCTCTCTCCGTGAAAGAGAGATTCAGAAGATGAGAAGTGATAAGGTTTCCATCCCTTAGGCCAAACGTCGACACCATGCTAGAAATCCAGTACACTTGTCACGATGTCCAGTGTCCATACACTTGTCCAGTGCCCCAAAAACTACATTCTTGGGGGTAACGGCAAGTTGCCAAGCACAACGTACTGTCCGGGACTGAGTTCTCCGACCGCGGGACGGAAGGGACGGAGGCCTCTTCCCAGAAACGGAGCGGTGGTGGGGAGGACATCCCGGCCGTCGACGTACTACTAGCCGCGCGAAAAACATTTTCTTATTTCACGATCGCGGACGTTTTTCTTGCATGATTATTTTAGTATCTAACTTGACTTACTCAGAATCTGATGATCTTCAGGCTTCACTCTGTGATGAATCACTGTCGGAGTCAAAATTAATTATTTCGTCAATGATGTCCGGTACAATACTATCTTTTTCCCAATAATCATTTTCTATTTTTTCCACGTGCCTGCAAAATCTTTGCCAGTCCTGCACGGTGACCTCTTGTATTGCAGTTTCAATGTTTTCTTGCTACTTGGTAACTGACATATCACCTGTTACATTTCGCTCCCTCAATATCTGCTTTACTTTCGCTCAAGCAAGTTCAGCTCACACATGTACAACTGTATGTCCGTGTGCTGCTAGCAACTCATCGATCTTGTACTGCTTAGCCCGTCGTTTGAGAGGTGCAATTAATCGGTACAAATCAGTCTTACGCATAGTTTCTTCACAATGCACTCCCTTTCTTTGAAGCTATACAATCATGTCAGCTTTTCTTGAATATGCGGACGGCGTTTTGTTGACTTCCATACTGTGTGGAGCATTGTCAAGGATTCCATTTCTCAAAATTAATGCCATTCATTTGGCCGTGGTAGTCTCCCACAGTACTACTAGCTCGAAAGATTAGACACGTGCCGCAAAGAAATCAATTTTCTCCCCCTGCATGAACAATTATTAGTCTACTTGTTGCATTTCCCATCACTTTGACACCACAAACGTTATCACACTGCCAACACTTTTGAAATTTAAGGGTGTTATCAATCCATGTCTCATCCACATGGATGATATCTCGGTTCTCTTCTCGAAATTGTTTCCATTGAACAATGAATCTGGATCTCCAATCCACTATGTCCGGTCTCTCTATCAGCACCTGCCGCTTTGATTGGCACCTTTTCCATTTAAAACCCATTGATTTCATAACCCGCAATAAAGATTTTGGCCCCCAAGGAAATTTAATTGCCCTTAAGAAGAAGCTTTAGCACCGTCGGCACTACCTTTTCGCTCATGTAGAAATCCAGAATAGTATTTCTAATGACACACCGGTCAAAACTATCTACACGGACAGAATTGCTACGTGACCAGGAGAATTCAGATTCCGATTTGGTCTATTCTCATTCCTATTTTTATTTTCTTTCCGAATGGCTTTGATGGTGGTGAGTCGAATTCCTGTGCATTCGGAGGCTCTTTCACTCGCTTTCATTAAAGGTAAATTTTTAAATGAATCTTCTTTCTCCCTATCACATATTTCAATCACACGGGCAATGATTTCGCGACCCTCGCTGTGTATAGTAGTATTAGTAACTCTCTTTGCCATGATGAGAAATTAATGATTTTCACATGTTGACACTCGGGTCATGCCACAAGCGAACTAGCCGCTCCGATGTTCTTATAACGGTTGCGATTGTCACGTGACATTGTGGGTGCAGCGAAAGCCATCCCCTCCTACCCTGCCGCTCACCTCGCGCGGAAACTAGGACCCCTCTCCGGCGGTCGGAAAACTGGGACCCGGACAGTACATCTTCTCTAATAGCGCACTTCAGGTGTCAGGTGTCGCCTTTAGACTTCCCTGAAGATACTGCGTGTATTGAACGTGGAAAAGAGATAATACCCACGAAGTAAAAAACTCCCCAGCCACAGATGACGTCTACTGAGCCCGTTAAGAAAATCGACTCCAGTCAGATATTGCCTTCGATATCACTTCCAAAACTTCGTCGAAGTCCCGTCCATTCTTACTATTTCAGAGACACATCAAACGATCTTCCAGTCCCTGTATATCTTGCTCACCTGAGGCAAAACAAAACCGCCGACACAGGCGACCATCTCCAGCAGTAGTCGGGATGACTGTTGACGAGGAGCACCACGATAATTCCTCTACAACCTTTCAGAAGGCGAGAAAAGAAAACAAAATACAAAAGAAATAATACCCTACAATGGCTCTCATGGAATTTAGACGAATTTAGATAGAATCGAGATTGTTAATTTCTCGCCATAGACTTCTATGACAGGGTGTCTAACTTGCAAGGCCTCAAGGACCACAACTAAAACCTTTAATACGGATGCTGGCTAAATTTACATTTCTCGGGCTATCCACACGAGACCGTCATGTTGATCTCGGCAGTTTGCCGGACAGCTCTGAAATGGAGAATTGAACCAAGCCGGAGACCAGGCGGTACCATTTATAACGCAGGGCAGCACATTGGGATGATTTTGAATTTCTGTGTTCACTAAAAGTTTTCCCTAAATCTAAACCTAACCAATTTTTTCATTAAGGGGCAGGTGTTGATCCC